GAACCCTGCTGCTTGCCGTGGTACAAAGCTCACTAATCCTATGACAGTCTTGTGTGTGAGGGCACTACAAGGGGCAGCAATCCCTGACCAATTATGTCCTCACACACAGCACTGTCATATAATGGACAGGGACTGCTGACACTTGTAGTGCCTTCCCACAGTCCCGGATACACCCAGCAGGACTTACCAGGAGCTGCTGAGACCAGAGGCAGAGGAATGCACTGGCGGAGTAAAAAAAAAAACGAACCTTGGTGAGCCGCTTCTGGACCACGGGCCTTGTAATTGACGTATGTGGTGTTGGGGGTCGGAGGAAAGAACTGCAGCATGGCGGGGGACACAATGTGAAATGCTGAAGGGTCTGACTGAGACTAGGGCTGCAGCTAACGATTATTTTCATAATCGATTAGTTAGCCGAATAATCGGCTAGGATTACAAAATAATACTGTCATTTATATAAAATGCACAAATGCAGCTTTGCAGACATAAAGTTTACTTCAGAATAAAACAGTATGCACATTGTTTGCAATCGCACTGCACTGGAACGCAGGGCATTGCAATACCACGCATTCCAGTGCGGGCTATCACACTGCTGACAGGAGGTGCATTTGGTATCCATTAAAGGCAGAACTGGGGCGGGCAGAGGAAGAACGGGCCAGGGAAGATGAGACACGAAACGGCTGCTGAGGTGGGGGGGCAGCGGGGGATTGCACAATCACAGCGGTCTCTCCTCCCCTCTGGTTCTGGCTGCAGTAGTCTAAAAAGCCAGCACGGTCGGGGAGGAGAGCTGAGAAGCAGAGCGGTGGCTGCAACTAATCGTAAAACAACTGATTGATGATGAGAATCGTTGCCAACTATTCTCATCGATTATAATCGATTTAATCGATTAATTGTTGCAGCTCCGTCAGCAGCTTTTGGAATGAAGGGACGGTTGGAGACAGAGGAATATAGTAACTCCTACTATTGCAGGGACCTGTCTAGTTTTATTTATTGGCAAGGACCCTCCTTTTTTTTTCTTCCCCAAAAACTTCTTTACCAATTTTTGTGTGAAATATACATTTTAGGGTCATGTTGAGGAAACAGAAACCATACATGTCAAGTCTTAAAATTGCATGTGCCCTTGGAATCGCAAAAAACTACAATACTCAAAATTGGCCATAGGCGATAAGCAGTAAAAGCTTTTACCGCTCATCAGTTAGGTGTTCACAGTGATTGATGGTCCTAGAACTCCAACAGTCGCGATGATATGTAATGTGTGGCTTAACCCTTTCGCTGCCAAGCCCTCCAGAACATTTTTCAAATCAGCTGGCCAAGCCATATCTTTTGCTTTTCTTTTTCGTTCTTCACTTTATTTGTATCACATAGGAAACTAACACAGATACAGTGACAGGTCCTCCTATATAGAGACATCAGGGGTCTATTAGACCCCTAAATATCACCTATGGAACCCAAAGAAGCCTATGAAGCAGAATCTGCTTCACCAGCTTCTTCTCCGGCTAAATGAAGAAAATGACAGGCTGAATCCGTAAGTGATGTAATTCACATCACTTCTACATTCAGTGATCGGAGGGAAGATCAGCCGGTATAAGGTGTGCTGATCTCCCTCTGATCCAGCACAGCCCAGGAAAGCTGGTGGTGGTAGAAGAGCCTGTATGCGTCCCACACACTTTCCCGCACAATACTAGCGATTGGGCGGCTCTATAGCCACCCCTAATGCTTATGTATCAAACTTTCCTGAGAGGGGGCAGAAAAGGACATTTATAAATTCCCACCCGCTGTTAGGAGTTGTGTAGAAAAAGAAAAAAAATTCTCCCAGGCCCGTTGACAGTACTATAAATGAGCACATCTGTGTAATAAGTGAGTCTGTGTATACGGTAACAGCTGAGACCTAGCTTCGTACATTGATTTTTCAGTATGCTCCTGGGGCTCCCACAATCACGGCAGTGCTGGAAGGATTGCCAAGGAACACACAGTCTAGGCTCAACTGCCAAGAATGTTCCCGTCAATTCTTTGGTTACACTCCGTCTATAACCATTTCCTAGTTGGTGTTTCCCTTCTTGGCATCCTGTGGTAAACCATAGTTATAATTAAATGTGTCCCCGCAGTCAAAGTAATTGTGTTAGTGAATTACAGCCATTGTACTGGAAAAAAATCTCAATCTAAAAAAATCCGTATTGATCACACATCACTGGCATATGTATCGCAACCTACACATACTGGGGGTCCCTGTACTTGGGGTGTATAGGGGAAAAAACTATTTACAACATTTAGAATACTACTGATTTAAACAAAATGTTACGCAAGAAACTAAAATAATTTGTACCCATTTCTCTGTTTTATTTCATAAAATATTTTCAGGGGATTTGTAAAAACAAATAGTTGGTGCGAATAGCAAAATTTGGTCTGATCATTATGTCTTGAATAAGCCTTGGATATTAAAGTGTGAAACGAGTTCCATTAAATGATGATGAATATTAAAGGAGAACTATGAGGTGAATGATTTTCACTCATCCTCCTAGTTCGAGCCGACGTGTAACAATGAAACTGTCGCACGTCGGCTCAAAAGCTCAGGAAGTCAGTGAACACATAACCGTCGCTGGCTCACTTCTCGATCATGTCACTGCAGAGAGCCGTGACTGTGACTTAGGCTCCCTGCAGGGATTCCCCCCTCCTCTGTCCGATCCTCCAGCGCTGACTGGAGGAACGAATGGGGGAGGGGACGGGTACAGCTGGCTCTGCCTCTAGATAGGCTGTCAAATCACGCAGCTGGGTGGATCTCAACAGTAATGTCGGGATCCATCCTTGTTACGGCAGTCTCGGTATACTGAGCTTTGAGTGACAGGAGGACGCTAGTTTATGTCCTCCCGTGATCCTGAGTAGAACTATGGGGAAAAAACACTTACCCCATAGTTCTCCTTTAACCGAGCAGTAAAACCTTTCTAATGAGCACTATTAGGTCTGGAAAACTGACTTTGGTAACTGTATTGCCATTTCAGAAAAGTTGCACCCTCTGTGGGGGCACCTTGTTCTTTATGGAGTAATGTATTCTTCGGAGTTCTGTCCCTCATATTCCAATAAGGTTCAGTTACAGCTCTAAAAGTTTGTATCTGATTGGTATTTGCGGGGAAATGACCTCAATGCTTAGAAAAACCCATTGATGCATCAGGTTCATAGTGGACTATATGTGTGCGCCCCCATTTGTCAGCACACTAGACATGAGCAGGCGCAACAATTCCGGCACCAAAACAGATTTGCTAAAATGATCAGTTTTGACTTTTTCTCATAAGCAAATAGTTAAACCCTCGGTCTGCTCCCTCCAAAACGTGTACATTGGCAGGTAGGAAAGGATCGTGGAAGTTTCCTTTTTTGGTTTTATTTCTGAAGTTTATTTTTGTAGTGCAATAACTTTTAATTGCTCTGATTAAGCCAGAGCCAAATGACAGACTGTTGTCTCAAAGCAGCATTTCCTCGAAATATCTGTTCAGCTGCTAGCCGACCGATCTAAAACAATTTGTAAATTAAAAATAAAATCTGCATTTGGTAGTGGATGTAAATTCCAAAGCTTGTGCCATTTCCAGGCAGCAATAATAGTGTGTACATGGCTGATTATCCCTCCCCTGACCATCTGTCAGAGAGAGATTTGTCAATGTCATCAGTTTTATTATAACTTTTTATACCAGTTACCAGGCTAGCTCCACTCTGAATATTTTCCTTTTTTATTTTCAGGTTGCTTTATTGTTGGCAGAGTCAATCACAAATTTGCTTTTATTGGTTATAGTGCGTTTTCCATGGTAGAATAAATGCCAGTCATCAAGTCATCCCTTGGCGACCAGGATGTCCTACCCAGTGCTGGGTGGACCTTTCCTGCTAGGTTACTGGTCATGTTTCCATTTGCAGTGCCTGCTATTCTGCCAGTCCAGCTGCTGTGGGTGGATAAGACTTGCATACATCAAGTCAAGCTGATTTGTTGCTGTTGCTCTTCCCTATATATTGGGAAGATTTTTGCCATCCAGCCTAGTGCTATTTGCAATATGAAGGCACATGACAAAGTTAAAACTTGCCAATTTAATATTTTCTTGAAATGGTGTTCTTCCTTACTGATGCCAGGTCCTGGAGCTGCTCTGTTCTAATGACTGAGCCACCCAGGCTCTGACTCCTATCATGAATATGTAGATTTCTGTTTGTTCCTAGGTCTATGAATCCACTGGGATTGACAGAAAAAGTCTTTTTAGAGGACCTTACACAAGAGCTTTGTAGGTATGAGACAGCCATTCTACTAGGCATCAACACGACTAATTGTTTGGGACTTCCCCCTCAAACCCTGGAGTTACAAGGCAGGGAGCGATGCTTATTACTCCACCAGAAAAGGTGCCGATAGGTTATGCCAGAGATGGTGATAAGGAGACAAGAGGACTGTAGTGGGAACTTGGAAGGTGGAGAGGGGCAGCAGGTTGTGCAGGGAGGGGAACTGACGTGACGGGTGAAGGACGCTGAGACCTTCGGTGGAGATTGATAACCGAGGGGACGGGGGAAGAGGATGATGTTGCTGGGGCCCGTAGTAGATCCCATCGCACTCCTGACTGGATAAAGCCCAAACAGAAATTGGGGGGTGTTGACGGTGACTGCGGATGCCTCCGCACTTCAAACGTAACAAACTGTAAAGTCACTAGCACTCCGTTGCAAATAACAGTTAATCTTTTATTGACTGACTATCGTGATGTCACATAAACAAAGCGACGTTTCGGAACCTAGCGGTCCCTTCTTCAGGCAAACAAAAAATGGTTTGTTGGAGTATAAAGAGGACGCATCTAAGGATTTGTACTTTATCTTTTTATTACACTATAGTTCTTGGGCTTTGATGAGCTTTAAATGTAGAGCGTCGGTCATTTTGCATTGTACAATTGTTTTTTTTTTTTCATTTGTGATTTTAAAGCAGTCAACTCACCTTTTTTGCTTTTTTCTTTTTCTTTTTTTTCTTTTTTTTTTCTGTTTGTTCTTAATAGATGCTTTGGCAGACAACAAAGTGGAACACAGACTGAATGGGAATGTGCAGAGCAACATGGCAGATATTAATGAGGATGGTTCTGAGCTCAACATGCGAGGAGTGTTCTTACACGTTCTTGGTGACGCGTTGGGTTCAGTCATCGTGGTGGTCAATGCTTTGATATTCTACTTTGTTTTTAACCCCTGTCCACCCGATGGACAGTGCTTCAACCCTTGCGTGCATGATCACTGTTCCGACCACCCAGAAGTGAATCGCACCTCGGCAGCACTCAACGAAAGCGCAGAACACCCGGAGGTTAAGATCGCTGGCCCATGTTGGGTTCTTTACCTCGATCCTTCTTTGTGTGTGATCATGGTATGTATATTGCTCTACACAACCTATCCACTCCTCAAAGAGTCTGCCCTGATCCTTCTACAGACCGTCCCTAAACAAATTGACATCTCCTCCCTCAAACAAAAGCTCAAAAGCCTGGAGGGCGTGGAAGCCGTTCATGAGCTGCACGTTTGGCAGTTGGCCGAAAGCCGAATCATTGCCACCGCTCATATAAAATGCCAAGATCCCACCGCTTACATGGATGTGGCCAAGCGGATTAAGGACTTCTTCCACGACGAAGGAATCCACGCCACAACTATCCAGCCGGAATTTTCCAGCGTCGAATCTGGCTCTAGAATATCCCTATGCGAACTCTCTTGCAGAACTCAATGCGCTCCCAAACAATGCTGCGGAAACCCGGAAAAGAGCATGGCGACGCGAAAGTCCAGCAGCGGAGCGGCCATCTTGGGAATGATCAGTGAATCTCCTGAGCACAAAACAAAGAGGACTTTGGCTTCCGAGAAGTCTGTTAATGAACTGAAAATAGACGTAGACACTGCGATCTGAACAGCTCTTGCCAATTTAACAAAAAAAGCAATGGCTACAGCCAGGGGAAGACACAAAGGGAAGTATGGTTTCTTCAGAAGACTCCCTTCCCAAACCTGCAGTTTGGCAATATTGATCTATTGTCATGACTGTACACATAGACTAGTTTTCAGTTGCTTTCTGTTCAAAATTTGTGTTGTCATAACAAAAAGAACGTTTAAGTTTTTGATTATATAAATATTCTAAGTAATGTCAATGTTACAGTTTATTTTTCTTTCATCCAGGACATTTGCAATGCTGAAAGCAATGTCATGTATATTTCATTTTATCAAATGCTATTAGGGATTTTTATTTCTTGGGGTTTCTTTTAACCTTCAGATGACTTTGAGCTATTGGATTATACATGATTTTATTTGACCTTTTTTTCATTTTTTTTTATGTATGTGCGAGCAAAAAAAAAAAGCATCTGGTACAGATCTACAATTCATGCACATGCCTTCATTTTTGTCTTTTAAATGCTGCAAATAAAGAAACCCAGTGAGCTCTTAAAGGAGAAGTATGAGGTGAGTGATTCTCACTCAACCTCATAGTTAGAGCCGACCTGTGACAAAGAAGCTGTCACTGGTCGGCTCGATCGATCGGGAAGAGAGCGAACGTATACCGTTGCTCGCTCACTTGCTGATCATCTCCCTGCAGAGAGCTGTGACTGACTGTCACGGCTCCCAGCAGGGATTCCCTCGCCGATCCTCCAGCGCTGAGTGGAGAAACAGACTGGGGTGGGGGTGGGCACAGCTGGCTCTGCCTCTAGATAGGCAGAGCCAGCTGTCACTCACGCAGCTGGGTGGCTCTCAACAGTATTGTAGCTGTAGCTTGCTATATACTGAGCTTTGGGTCACGGCAGGAGGTTAGTATATATCCTCACCTGACCCTTAAGAGAACTATGGGATAAAAAGGTTACCACGTAGTTCTCTTTTTAACTTCTGCTATGAGTTGACAATGCTGCATCTGCGGTGCTGAAATACCAAGCAGTGTGGTCAACCCAGCCTGAAGTCTTCCCTTCTGGACTACAGCACTTTCCCATATTCTCTCCATGACGTAAGCGAGAAGACAACACTGCTCGGGATTTCAGTGCAGCGGAGGCGGCATGATCGGCCAACAACAGAACTCAGAACACACTGGATTTCAGGATGATCAGTAAGTATATATTTTTTATTTGCAGTGTTTATAAAGAAGACAAAACTTGGGATAATGAATGAATGAAATTAAGTGATGTACTGAATGTTGTGGGATTTTCTTTTTCCTTTATTATTTTGCTTTGACTTACACTTTTAGTACACATTGTTTATCCATCGACCATTATCTCCTTTTGCCATGGGATGCCACAACTTTGTTGTGCTCTCCATTCCATGTTATCCAGTTAGCAGCTTTGGGTTATTCCAGGCAGCAAAACTTAAATACTTCTGTTTGATTTCAGATACATGACCACAAAGTACAGGTCAAATCTAGCAAGGGAGTGCAATGGGGCTGATGTATGAAAGGTATTCCAAAAGGAAAATTGTATTGTCTTTCTTTGCCATTGCAACCACTAAGAATGCTTAAAGTGACATTAAACCCTCAGATTTTTTTTAACATAAACCAATACTGTAATGTGTGCCTTACTGTAATCCATGGTTGTTTCCCTTCTCTTTGCTGCTCTTCCTTTTAAATCTGTATGTGTTCTCATGCTGGGCAGAACTTCTGCTTTGCAGCAGACTGCCTTGTCTCAGGAATGGATACACGATGTCTGTGTATAGGTTTGCAACCTGAGCCAGCACTACAGGAAGAGGCACTCAGCTGAAAAGGGAAGTTCTCCCCAAGCATGAGAAGACATGAGGATTTAAAAGGAAGAGCAGCAAAGAGAAGGTAAACAACCATGGATTATAGTAAGGCACACATTACAGTATTGGTTTATGTTAAAAAAAATCTGAGGGTTTAATGTCACTTTAAGTCTGTCATGGACTGTGGAGATGACACTTGGAAACTGATAGGTTGCTGCAGGTATGAAGAAATCTTCTAGTGCACTTTTCATACATCGGCCACAATGTCAGAATTCCAAGACTGCGTGTATGTGGTGATAAATGTCATCTAAAAGCAAACCCTTTGTATAATTAGGCTCCTCTTGATATTTTAAAGCAGAATTCCAGGTAAACTGCTAAATACACAGTTACATATATGTGAGCTGTTCTACTTGTTGACCAGTTTTGTGCTGCATGACCCCCGTCTCCTTCTTTAGCTGCAGTCAGGATATATAGTGCTGACAATTTTACGCAGCACTTTACATCAGTCCCTGCCTTCAAGGAGCTAATTCACTATTACACACGCATACTAGGACCAACCTAGACAGGAACCAATTAACCTTCCAGCATGTCTTTGGCGTGTGGGAGGAAACCCAGTGTACCCGGAGGAACCCCATGCAAGCACAGAGAGAACATGCAAACTTCTTGCCGATAGTAACTGGGATTTGAACCGGGACCCCAGTACTGTACTTCTTGCACAATGAATCAGCAGTGTGATGATGGGCAATCTGGAGGCAGAGAGGTCATATGGTAAATAGTGTTGCTTGCATGTATCGCAAGAACGGCAGAGCAGAATATTTTGTCTTTCAGGTCACAGAAATTTATTTGAACTGTTTAGCTGTTTGCCTGGAGTTCCGCTTATATACCCTTTTGGACAAATCCCAGAAGCCAGGTCGCCAGTGCTCCCTAAAATTTACAGCCGCTACCTAACTTTTGAGCTTTTCACTAATTGTCAATGAAGTTTGCTTGTAAAGAAAAATCCTGCTAGCTCCTGAGTCAATATCAATTTGTCCACCCCTGCGCTTGTCAGACATTGACAGTCGTCTGGAGACTCTGAGAAGCTTTGTTTTAAAATCTCAGATAATTCCCTTTGTCTTGGAAACGAGGGAAGCTTGTCACATTGGCTCTTATAGCACTTTTGCAGTGTCTGCGAATGTTTCGCTCGGACTCCTCAAACTCAGTACAGCTCGTGGACATGGCAGCATCTGGGAAAACAAAGCTTTTCTTATAAATTCCAAATAATGTTCATTACAAAATAAATCAATACTTCTAAACTGGAATCCCTGTGCACCTAATTTATGCAATAACATTCATTTTTATTGTACAAGTTTTTTTGTTTAGTTTTTTTGCACATTGGTACTGGGTTGTTCTTCCACAGTACAATAGAATGTCGAGATCCTGTGTGAACGATTGTAAATGTCCTGGTTTAGGATTTTCCGTTCTAAGCACTTGCATGTCACCGCAAGGCTGTTGAAATGACCAAACTGCAAAGGCACACTGAAGTAAGACTTCAAGGGGAGCTCCACTAAGAAGGGAACAACGGGATGAATGGGGTGTGTGTAGGGTCACCCATAACTCCATTTTAAAGTTTCGGTCCAAGCAATTTATTGCCTTGTTGCTCTCTCAGCGTAGGTGTTGGGATCCCCCCCGATGTATCATTCACAGTACAAGCAGTTTTAAGCATTTTTTTTTTTTTTAATGTCATTTCCGGTGCTGGTAAATTGTTTGGAACTGTGTTTGCTGTGAATGCTATGACATGTATGCCAGTGCTTTAACATTAACGCATGTCATTGGTGGGCATTTTGAAGCACTGCTAGTGTGAACGGTGCCCACTGTGGGTCTGACATCTAGTGGAGACAGAGATGCAGTGTGATAGATCTTGGAAACTCTCAACAAAAATGGGGTTACGATTGCAAAGCAGAAGCCAATCCAAATGAATGAGGGGAGG